GTGGCGAGCCTTGCGTGAAATGGACTTGTGTGGCAAGAGATTGAAGAGATTCGGTGAGTGCGTGGATTCCAAAGTGCTAATCCTTTTTTAGCAGGCTACAGGGGACAGGTCATTGTGACAAGGATCTGAAGATGGGATCTAAATATATCTATAAATACAACTTTACAACTTGGTAACTTCGCAGCCTGCCAGAGGCCTACAGCCTCGCGCCCCACCTCGCGGCCCGCCTCACGGCCCGCCAGCGGCGTCCCACGCGACGCACACTCCCGCGACGCCTCGCGGGACGCGTCGCGCGCGTCGCGGCGCCCGGGGCGCGCGGCAGCGGAGAGACGGCACCCGCTGGCGCGGTGTCTGAGCCGCCCGCGGCCAAGCTCTGTCTGGGGAGCCTGGAGGGTCGAAAAGGAGGCTGGTGGGAGATGGTGGCAGAGGGGATGTCTCCATCCTCATTCATTGCATGATGTGGGACTGAGAACTTGAGAATATTACTTGAAGGGAGATATGATTCTTTGAGGAGAACCCAAAGAATTGCATGTTCACTCATACAGCTACTGCGACTCTTTTGAGTCCCACACGCCAAAAAAACACATGCTATGATGCCGAAGTTACGCACTTACAAGGTCGTGTTACGAACACGGAGGAGATCAACGAAAACTCTCCGATGGCCGCCTCGCCCATCCATCTGAAATCCATCCGGTCCTCCGGTCCTCTGAGTCCTCCGGTCTCTGCCGCTGTTCGCCCCCAGGCCGCACCTTCCAAGGCCGTCTTTGACGCCGCGGCGCTCCGCGAGGCGTGAAGATCCCCACAGGAACCGGTGCGTGTGAACAAGAGCATGGAAGCTTCTTAACTGGTGATTGATTGGGAGCAGTTCGTGAAAACACGAACGTGAAGCGGGTGGAAAAGGAAAGGCTAAAGGAAGGCCTTCTATATGGTGACGTATATACTTTTTAGATGGTCTTCCAACATGTCCAGCGTTTTCGACCCTTTGGTCGACCGTTTTTTCATCGTCACCTGTCTGCAGGCGGCGCAACGACGTCTGCAACGCTTGGCCGAACGCATCGACGCCCACGGAGCCAGCCCTTCCGGTGGAGCGTCGCCGACGGAGGTGGGGTGTGTGCGCCGTTCAGTGTGGGTAGACCTTCGAGGTCAGGGTGGACCGTTGTGAACATGGTGTAGCAAGCAAGATATTAAATGCCTAGCTGCAGCAAGGGACTGCACGAAACCCCTGGCACTTGGCTCCAGGAATGCAGGAGCTGCGCTGGGCTTGAGCGACCTGTTCTAAAGTTGTAGAACCACACCCAAAGGAGAAACAACGCCACCCTCTTTGTAGTCGGGTGATGTGTGCGACACTTTGAGTTTTGGAGCAAGGATGGATGGTCCAATCACCGATTTATAGAGTGGTGCAACAGGTCATCCTTATAAAGATTATAAAGGTGTGCCGGTTTTGGGAGGGAGTGAGCAAACCGCAGGTGGCAAAAGGTGGGGGAGTTTTTTTGAGTGTGGTGTTTTTGCTGCGGCGGGATGGATCCAATATTTCACCCTATAGTCTTTCAAGGATCCCTGAGATCCCAGAGTTGTATGAGCAATGCCTCAGGTATTGGGAGTTAAAGTGGTCCGACGATGGCCACCAACCTACTAGCAACTGATAGGTATTTCTATTCCATGCTTTTCCGGTTGGGAGATGCATGAGCTGGAGGTTCTTTAGGGCGTTTTGATGGTGAGATTGCTGACACCATGGTTGGCTGATACAAGTGGCTGACTTGGAGGATGGCTTTGGACTAAGCCAGGAAGAGCATTTTGCGCTCAAAGGGTTACATAGAAAGAGATATGAAGAGGAGCTTCGAACATCTAAAGGATTTTTTGCAATGCTTGTTTTGGTACACTGGATTCTCTCACCCCACCCAGAAGCCGACTGCGGAAGGGTGGGCTCCCGGCGTTTCCACACCCGGTGGAGTCTCCAGTGCTGTAGAGTCTACAGCGATATTCTACAAACAATTATATATATAAATATATATATTTTTACTGTTCATGATCTACTTGTTTCTGCAATCGCCCTGGCAGATTTCCCAGACCAGTTTCCAGAATTGCGTGGCCGTGGACCGACGATGAAGATTGGGTGATCACCAAACTCCATGTCCCAACCCATCACCATCTCATTTTTTGGCTGGCAAGAGACCTCATACTTCACAATCTCTGATCCCTTTTCTTCTAAGATCTGTGCAAGAATGGTTCAGCTGATTGGCAGCAGAACTTTGTTCTGTTGTCTATCTAGGAAACCGTAGTTGTGGTGAAAACATGCAAACACAATGTGCTTAGAATCATGACGGGATGTGCAATGCTCCATCCTTGGCAGGTGCGTAAAGAGTTGGTAGATGCTTTGCTCCATCTTCGCGTCAGCGCCCCATGTGGCAATGGGAGACAGCTGGAGGATGGCACGGCGGACCATTTGCAGTGGACGATTCAATCAGATGAATATACCATGATTGGGGTGTATGATGGTGTATGTGTTACTTTTTTCCAAGATTTTTTTTGTGGCCACAGCCAACAAATCGACAGAACCATTTACTGGAGCATGCAAGTTCTTCTCAGCGGCCCCATCCATCCGTCCGTCTTCGTCCCACCGTCGAGTTCGATTTTCGGCGACCGGAAGGACCCAAACCGTCGACCCGGTGATGCCATGGTGGTTTTGGGGTCCACCATGTGTTTTGACTGAATATGCCACCTAGAAATATGCGCACCTAGACATATGCGAAATGTCACATAGATATTGCTTGCAACCCAAACTCGGAGATGCTACCCATTGCTTGCATGAAACGTCAACTTCCCACAGTCATTAAAAGAACGTTCATCACTTCCCACAGTCATGACAACAAACCACCTGTGATTCTGCAGGTCTTTTCAGGTCAGGTTGTGGTTGTTGTGGTTGTTGTGGTTGTTGTGGTTGTTGTGGTTGTGGTGGTTGTGGTGGTTGTGGTGGTTGTGGTGGTTGTAGTGGTTGTGGTGGTTGTGGTTGTGGTGGTGGTGGTGGTGGTTGTGGTTGTGGTTGCGGTTGCGGTTGCGGTTGCGGTTGGTGTTGTTGTTGTTGTTGTTGTTTCTCTTGAATTGCAGAGAGACCTGTTGGAGAATAGTTTTTGACGGGTCGTTGGTCATAGTATGTCCTTCCTTGTGTAATCCTCCCGACTCGTCACCGTCTGGGTCGTCCAAGTCCTTTGGCTCGGAGCGTTGAGGCGGTGTCCCTGGAACTGGTGGAGGCCTTCGAGCGTTGGCGCATCAGCGGGAGCCGCGGAGGTTCGGGGCCCTCAGGGAGGGAGGTTTGCTGGAAAGGTTGGAAGGGATATCCGTTGGGGCTCTTGGCTTAAATCTCTAAGTGGTTTACAAAGGGATTGGCCAAAAACAGCCGGGATTTGAGCCAAGATTTCTGAAGGTATATTATACGGTATATTGCTTTGGGATTCAAAAGAAAAGAAGGTGAGTGACATCGCAGGGCCCAAATAGGAGAAGGACCGTGCGCGGTCGAATTGGTCACGGATGGGGGAAGTCTGATTTTGTTCCGGCAAGGACGCTGCTAGGGGCTTCTGGCCTTACTACTAGGAGCATGGACGCTACTAGGGGCTCCTGGCATCGCTACTAGGAGCAAGGATGCTACTAGGGGCTCTTCCACTTGACGAAATGCCTCGGGGCTCATTTTTTCTGGGATTCTCTCAGACAGCATCATCACCTTGTCGTATGAAAGAGATGCCATCATGGTCCCAGAGTCAGTGCTCTATATCTATCTATTTACTTATTTATCTATTTATCTCCACATGTGGGGTGGTTTCCAAGTCGTTTAAGATTTTGTGTTCTGGGCGATGTGTTTGCGTGCAGCGTGAGAAGATGCATGCTTATTTGAAAGATGTCTTTATACCTTGTTTGTTTGAGAAATTAGATGACTCACTAGGCTTCCAATCTTCTTTTCCGTAGCTTTACTTGGACCATGTCTTCCAAATTCCGACGGTGCCTCAAAGAATAAGACCAAGGCACCTTGACGGTCCTCACCACAACGGTGGGGCCTTTGAATGGCACCCAATTTTTTGAGCCCATATGGCATAACCTGTACTCATACTCAGACCATCCACACCCCGATGTAGGCCAATATTCCATGCATGGAGTGTTGGGGATATGGACCATATGGGAATCTATGGTGACCTTCTGAAGCCGCCCGACCTTCACATTCCGACCCAACCGAAAAGACGGTGGAAGACCCCACCGGTTTGAGGCACCGCGGTCGGACGGGTCTGGTCGGGTCTGCCGCGGTCTCCGACCATCGGCTGGTTTGGTTCCGACCGGTGAAGGCCGCGAGGTCTCATAGTTCGCCCGCACAGAAGGACATGGGCAACATGAAATGGGCTGCTTGTGACGGTTCCTCATCAATCCGCACCCAAAAAACCAAGCTGATGATGTGGCCAACAATCACGGCAGTTCCGGTCATGCAAGCTGACAAAAAGGCACGGAGAGCCTGTTGTGCCCAACAATTTACACGCCTACTCACACTTGCATCAAAGAGATAAATGCCCTAACTCCACATTATCTCATACCCAAACCTGTCAATTATATATATAACCACTCGTATCCCCACTGGCTCTCATTCTTCTCCTATCTATTTTGATTCGTTTCTCCTTTCCAAATCGTGGCCCATTCAACAACACACTAAAGGGGAGATGAGTTGCGAAGACTGGTGCAGAACGTGCGAGTTTTCGATGACCCTCTCCTTTTACATCTTTGCATCTATCCTCCAACCCTACCACAACTTGGAGATTCATCAGCAAAAAAGACACAACAAACAAACCTCAGGGCAGCACACACTTTTTGATGCATGCTTCTTTTACACACCAGTATTTAGTGAGTCTTACAGTATAGGAAGGTGCTGGCTTCTCTCCAAGTCCTCAGAAAAAGTCAAAACAACAACAAAACACACATTTACAGCCATTGAACCATTGAACTGGATCCCCACCGCGCCAACCGCCATGGCCAACAGTTTGCCCAGCGGCGCCCTGCGGCCACCTGTAGCCATTGGCCCGCTCTTGGACGACGAGCCGGACGGTCGTGCTCTCGTCGTGGTCAGGGTGTTAGTTTTTCTCCAAACTGGGATGGCCCTTCCTCCCTTGGAAATGACATCCCTTGGATTTTGTTTGGACATTTTGGGGATGTGTTGATGAAATCCCTTTTGGACATTCACCGGATTTCTTCCAACATGACCTGCCGTCTCCCAGGTTCCACTTTCGGTGGGAACTGACTATGGGGCGCCTTCTTTTGGTTCGTGCTAAGTGGACTGATCGACTCGCCCAATGAGCTCAATCGGACCCGATCAAACGAAGGCCACGCTGCCGGTTCGGCGAATGACTGGTCTGATGTCTGACATGACCAGTGGGGCCATGTCGCAACGGTAGCTGGTGAATTCTTTTCTATTTAGGTTACCTTTTTTTTGTGTGTTTAAAACAAACAGCGAAGCTTGTTTGACACCTCCCATATACAAGGCTACCAATTTGTTGTTTGTTTGGTATGTGCATGTAAGTGACATCTCCACTAATTGGCCTCATTGATGCCACTCACGTCCAAGCGTCGCTGGTCATTCCTTGCGTCAGATCCTCTTGGACAGGCACCGGGCAGCGCTTCCATGGACCTGGTTTTGCTTAAGGTGATTGTTCATTGTCTCTGAGGAAATCCTCTTCTGGAGATTTCTGGTGAGTATGTTTTTCATTTGTCTTATTTTTTTAGGTTCTTGGAGAGCAAATTGTCCAAGTAGACCCACCATCCAAAGAATACAAACATGAATGCATGGCACGGCGGTCCTCACCCCATGAATGCATGGCACGGTACTTGAGGGCCCAAGACTGGAGGATTGGGTTGACTGACGGGATGCAAGGAGGTGTCCTGCAGACAGTGTGTGCCCGAGTGTGGGACTACCTTTTAAGCTTCGCTGACATCTTGAACTCCATGCACTCATGTTGCTGGCTTGCATTGGATGAGCTCCTGGTCAGGAGCTGTATCACTTTTCGCCCAAGAAGAGCTTCTTTAGTGGTGGCTCTACTGAGTGGGGCGTCCGTACGGCTTGGAGTCTGGGATTTGGATGAGAGGACTCTCTATTCTAGGCTTTGTCTGGACAATATTTACAGTCTTGAGAGTAGAGTGGATGTCCACCACATGTCAGCTACAAACATGCTCTTACAGGCTAAGACTTGATGGATGCTATTTGCATATTGTGCCTTGCACATGTTTGAAAGCTGCCTGTGTTTATTATTTGTGAGCCAATCATGTACTGTATAGTTGAAGAGTGGACAGCTTTATTGACAAGGAATACTTTTGCAGGATACCATGGACAATCCTAGAACGTCGCCATCCCTTTTTAAGGAATGGTGAGCTAGCTGCATGAGGTGAGGTGAGCTAGCTATCTCCCTGACATGTTCATGCCGGGGATTATACTTGTCGTTTGCGCATGGTCCATATGGAATTATCTACCAGCACCCCCAGTCGGGGTGGTTAATGGACACCCCGAATCACAGCTAAGGGGCTATAAATAGACACCCCTTGGAGTGTCCTGGTATAGTCCTTTTATTCTATGTACTGTATCTCTTTTTCAACCAGGCTGAATAACGGACGATTTGAGACTAGTAGCAGCACACTGCTCAGGTGAAACAACTCAAGTTCAGGTGGGGTTGTATTGATTCCGTGTCTTCTCGAGCTTTACTTAGCTAAATCATATAAGATTTTGATATGTCATCAGCCCGACCATGCGGTAAGTTTTATAGATATCCACCGCCACAGCTAATAGGGATTACACATGTGAGGCGGGCATCAACATCCCGAATAAATCAAGGATTGAATCTCAACCAAAGGGCCATTTCTGCATGGGCAGCAATTGAGCCAGCAATCGAACCCTGCTGGCATCTATTCCCTCCTTAACATACACCGATTCTGATGCTCCGCTGCTCCGCAGTGTAGAGTGTAGAGGTATTCCCTGGCACGATTTCTCAGCTGAAACTCTTCATCCAAACACAAGTGTGAACCACAACAAGGTAGTCTCTGGAGGGAAGATCAAAGTGGTGTGGCATTTGAAAATGACCTGGAACTGATCTTTCGAGACGGAGTTTCAGGACGAAGCACAGCGAAGCAATGATCACTGTGAAATCCCCATTCTCGAAGAAACACACAGTAATTATGCTCATAAGAAATCTCATGCGCCACACATGCGCCACACATACGCCACGCATGTACCTCAGGCAGAGGTGCAGGCACTATATGGTTCCCGGGTCCAAAACTATCCCTAAAGGGCGGTGGAACTTGGTTTCAGAGGTACCAGTTAATTACCCCAAGTTGGGTGGTGCAAGCAGTCATGGACCCCCCAAAGACAGTGCCATCTACTCTGAAACCACTATAGTTCAGGGAAAAAAAAGGGCCATTCACCTTCAAAAAAGGGCCATTCACCTTCCCACATCCCCGCTCCACCAAGCTGTTCAGGTGGCTGGAGCTTTCCGCCTGTGCAGCCGGAGGAGGAGGAGTCGGAAGGCGCGCCGCTTTGCGGAGTCGGATTCGGCGACCCGGAGTGAAGAGACGAGAGTCGATTCGCCAGTCAGGGACGACCCGGAGTGATACGACGACGGCTGATGATTTTGGAGTGTTGGAGAATGAAAGAGGATGGCAGGATGCTCACCCTTCAGGCCCTTAAGGGTTAGTTTTGCTGGTCACGAATCAATCAGAAATCCAAAACCTTAGGCCAAATATCATGGAAACAGATCAATAGGGACAATATCATATCCTCCTAGGAGCTATATAGTTCAGGTGAAAGATGGAATAGATCAGAAGGCACATAGGAAAACTGCCATAAGAGACTTGTTTGCTTTGGACAGGTTTCATATTCTATCTACTTGAGGCCTGGGAGACGACCCAGTCTAATTTTCCCACTTAAAAGTCCCAGGCCTTCTGGATGGACAAAGGTCTGCACCATATACTGGAAGTCCCAGTTCAATCAACCTCGGGAATCTCAGCAGGATGGGAATTTGGGGAGTCTAGTGGGGAGTCTTTCCTTCTCCCATCGCTCCACATGCCGCTTTTCGTTTAGCTTGCCCAGGTGAAAACTGGGAGGAACCAAGAGGTGCCAAGCTTTCTGTTTGCGGCTGCGAGATGAGGTATAGTTGGAAGGCAATGGTTTGTTTTCCCTTCTTGGCCAAAGTGTGCTTACCTTGCTAATTCAGTGCCTTCAGCAAGGTAGCAGTTCTTGGAACGATGAACATCGATGAACGTATTGATGATGGACAACCTGGACCATCCAAGGGGGGGCCAGGACACCCAGACAGGATGGGGTATGATCTGTATATATATATATAATCTAATATAAAAATATATATCTCTGAGAGTTTGTTTGTCCAACTACATGTCCTTGATGCCATCGATAGCCAGTTCCAACTACAATTGTCCAACTATATTTCTGGTATGATCTATAGTCATTTCCTTGGAACAGAAGTTTGATGCAAAGACGGTCCGATGGTCCGACCGGGTCCGGACGAATTGGCCGAACATCGGAATGGCAAGTCGCATCTGAAGAATGGCCGGCTTGGAGCCAAGACGCAGGTCATATATTATGTTACTAATGTTTGACTACTATTTTGAGCAAAGTCATTCAGACCAATTGCTAGAGTACCCTGGGACAATTCCCTTGACTTGTGTGAAGTAGTCAGTCAGATAGAAACGGGGTCCAACACATTTCAGAGGCGGCTCGCGTAGGATGTAAAAGCTCAGGGAAAAGGAAAAGGACTCTGGCCTTCAGAAGGCCGTTCAAACGCTGCTTTGATCATTGAAGTTCGCACATCAATCCGTCAAGACCACCACCTTTGGGAGTCACCAGTTAAATTGCAGAACATGCCAATTCATGAGTTCATGGATTTTGGACATGGGAATCATCGGTGATACAGCACCTTGGCACCTGCCTTTGTCGCACAAACCAGAGACCAAACTGAGGTGTTTTTTCGCTCGCACTATACAGAGCCGCTTGCACCAGTTTCAAAGGTGAAAGTTCCTTCGCGGATTGCAATTTTGCGAAGAAGTGGGTAGATGAGTTGGCAGAAACTATATAGTACAGCCAAACAAAGAGACACAGTAGCACAGGAAAACATGGTTCCAATCCACTTTAGCATGATCCCAAACACCAGTTTTTGTTCCAGCTAGTCACGCTGTATAGAAACATCCCTTTTGCATTGGTGTCTCACGGCTGGACAGGGCCAGAGCGGATCTCCTTGAGGGAGCCACAGGTGCGGGTCCTCTGCAACGTTTCGTCGGTGCGGTGTCCTCCGACGTGGCCGGATCGTGACCCAGCAAGCGAAGGTGAAACCCAGCAGTCGGGAGCAAGTGAAGCATAGCTATATGATGATCCCAGCTTTGACCGCACTGCTAGTCATTACGCAGGCCTTGGCTGCCTTGGCTTCCTTAGCTTTGAGATATTGTATAGGATGTGATGTGTGATATGGTAATCCCCAAAGAGATCATTTCAATGCGTTCAAGCCTGTTTTAGAGGCACCCCTCGATTCTTGTATATTACATTAAATTGTTTTTTGGGGTTACCATCTATAGCAGATCCACAGTCGCTGCCACAACATGCGGTGATGGCAAACACTTCCTTGTGGATTCGGTTCCTGTCTGGCACTGTGGCTGAACTTGATGTGGAGGAGCTGCGTCCACTCAACGAAAGCAACAGACCTGTCAGGGCATTGAAAAAGCGCTTGGCACATCGGACTGGCATTTCATGGTTTCGGCAGAGGCTCTATTTCAGCCAAGAGCTTTGCGAGTTGGAGGAGACTGAAACTTTGACAGTGCCAATGGACCTAAAGCTGGCGATCCTGAATTTTCAATCTGCGGACAAAGCCGGGCAAGAAGCACTCCTTTGGGCATGTGTTCTTGGGAGGTTGAATGAAGTTGAAGCAGCGCTACTCTCTCCACAAGATCCCAACATTGAAGATGTACATGAAGGAAAAAGTTTGCATGTGGCACCTCAGAACAACCACTTGGAGATTGTGCGATTGCTGCTGGAGGCCCACGCTGATAAGGATGTGGTGACACAGTATGGTGACACTGCTTTGCATTTGGCAGCTCACAACGGCAACTTGGAGATTGTGCAATTGCTGCTGGAGGCCCACGCGGGCTGGTAACACTGCCTTGCATTTGACAGCTCAGAGCGGCAACTTGGAGATTGTGCGATTGCTGCTGGAGGCCCA